ACTGTTTACAATAGCTAAGCTTTGGAAACAACCCAAATGCCCCAAAATAGATGACTGGATCAAGAAGATGTGGTACATATACACCATGGAATATTACTCAGCATTCAAAAAAGATAAACACATGCAATTTGCAGCAACATGGATGGCGCTGGAAGGTATCATGCTCAGCAAAATAAGCCAGAACGAAAAAGAAAAATTTCGGATGGTCTCACTCATAGTAGGAATCTAGAAAACTTAAATAAGGGACCAGGAAAATGAATATCTATAAGAAAGTGAAAATCATAATCAACAAACAACTATGAACCAGAGACACTTTATGAGGGGAGGGGTGGGGGGGAGGGATTGGGGTCAAAATAAAGGGTTGCAATTGTTTGGGGAATATAAAAATAAAAAAAATTAAAATTAAAAAAAAATTTCAGTATCAGATCCTTGGAAAAGTAAATTGTAACGTGAGAAATTGTGTTTCATATTTGTCATACATTAAAGCTTATCTTTGGCATGAAAAAAAAATATCCAGTTGGTTTTTGTTTGATAGCTAAATTGCTGTCAGATTCAAAACCCTAAGTAATAAATGAACAAAGAAGAAAAGCAAATGACAAAAGCAAAAAAAAAAAATGCAAATACAATCTATGATGCATAATCAATCTTTATCTACTGGTAGACTTTCATGTCCAGTTTAATGTTGATATCATAAAGTCAACATATTATTGACTCTAAGGGCTGCTAAAATCAGCATAGATACAATAGAGATAGAAAGATGCTATTCAGGAAGAAAGACCATCCAAAAGAGAAATATACAAGAAAGGAGCTAACTTTTGCAGTTAATGGAGTATAAAAATTACAGTTCTAAGAAGTAAATTCCAACACCAAGGTCAAAAGCTATATTTATTTCTTCTAAAAGCAGGACTAGAAATGACTATAGAAGTGTCTTTCAATTAACTGGTTGCTTTAATTCTTTACTACGATGTAACAAGCCACTCTAAAATACAGTGTCTCAAATAAGCCACTTTTTTTTTAAGAGTTATTTATTTATACATACAAGAGCTGGTGTACAGGTTAAAGGTGTGGGGGTGAGAGGATTCACCAGAGACAGAGCTGGGAACAGAACAGGCAGATTGACCGAAGTACACTGCTGAGGGGAGCAGTGGGTGAATCAGGAGAGGTCTGCTGCGCCATGTGGGTTGCTCCCTGGCTGACCGGGGATCGAACTCGTGCTGCAGAGGCTGCAGACAGCTTTATAGGTTGTTTCTTAACCCCTTGTGCCACCAGGGAGGCCCATAAGCCACTTTTTTTAATGGTTATTTTGTTGTTGTTGTTCTTAAATGTAAAATTCATTGGGAAATAACAATTTTAGAAAGGTTTGAAGGAAATATAAATGATAGTATTCTCATGATTATGTAGACAAATTAGTTTAGCTTATACTTATGTATTATAATTTGAATGTTGAGATGGCTGGAAGAACAAAAAGCCCTTATTCACGTGGCTGATGGTTGATGCTGCCACAGCCTTAATCCTAGGCAGGCTCTTCATGTTGCTTTTTGATCTTCCTCATAGAACGATAGCCTCAGGCTAGGAAGATTTCTGACAAGGGGTCTAGATTCCCAGAACAAGAAGGTAAAAAACTGCCAAGCTTTCTAAAGCTTCTGCTTGGAATTGTCATAATCTTACTTGTACCTTGGTCTCCTGGCTAAAGCAGGGTCAGCCCTGACTCAAAAGGAGGGTTCTAGAGAAGAGCATGAAACATATAATGTATGGTATATTGCGGTCTCCAAATTTATCTTCACACAAGGATGAGAAAAGAATATCAGCAACAAATCATATTTTCAGGATGCAGTCTATTAATATTGCAGTGAAGGAAATGAGAATGACTAAATAATAAGAAAACATAATCTCTATCTCCATTAGCAAGGGAAGAACAAAAGCTATAGGAAGACACACAAAATCACCTATCATAAGAAAAGTCTCAGCTTTCAATCCCTGGTGGCCTAGGGGTTAAGTCTCAGCACTGTAACCACTGAGGCCTGGGTTCAATCCCTGGCCAGGGAGCTGACCCAAATGGTGCAGCAGACCGCTCCTGTCTCGCCTGCTGTTCCCCTCAGCAGTGTATTTCAGTCAATCTGCCTGTTCTGCTCCCCACTCTGTCTCTGGTGAATCCTCTCACCCCCTGCACCTCTGGCCTACACCTTAATTCTATGAAAAAAAAGAAAGAAAGAAGAAAAGAGAATTCTCAGCTTTCTCAGCTAAGTTGGGGTAGACCTCTGTTCCATTCTACCACCAGCAAACGAACACAATGCACACTACTGTAAATACCAGAAGAAAATTATTTTTTTTCAATAGTAATAATAATAAAGAAAGGAGACAGCATAGCATCTATATAAAGATAATATACTTTTGTTTTAAGGGAAGAAAAGGATTAGGGTAAAAAATAATAATTAGGGAGAAAAGAAGCTTCATCAGAAATAAAAATTACATGGAGCGAGTGAAATTAATGACCAAATTTAAATCATGGCTTATCAAAACAAAACAAAAAAACCCTCAAAAATGCAATCACCCCTATGAAACAAAATAACATAAATCAAAGAACTTAAAGAATTAATGACTTGGTGATTCAGTGGAACAAAATGCAACATGAAAATGCATTCCAAAGCATTAAAAGCACCCATCATATCTATAAATGAAAAATATACTTTCCTAATCACACATTCATATATAGTGTATATTAAATAATTTAGGCAATATTTTTGCATGTGGTAACTCTTCTGTTGAATTCCTCACTGAATTCAATTAGATCTGAGAGAAAAATACACAGCTTTCATGTTTATATTAATTTGAAATATAAATCAAAATGGATGGATTAATAATCTAAGTCAACCTGTTAAAAAAAACTGTAAAAGTAGATAAATTGATTAATATTAAAAAGGAAAATAATGCATTATAGAGAGTAATAGATCTATAAGTTACAAGGATGCATATTTGAAAAAATATATGGATAAACCAATAGTAATCTTAATTATGGAAAGAAACAATTTTTTTTTTTTTTTTTTTTTTGGTGGGACCCTCGCCGGCGGCTGGGGAACGAACTGGCGCTGCAGAGGCTCAGGCAGCCTCTCAGCCCAGCGCTCAACCACTGCGCCACCAGGGGAGGCCCAAAAGAAACATTTTTGGAGAGTGGTTGCATATACTCAAAAATGCTTAAGGAAAATTGTCCATAGATGTGGAAAATATTAAAAGAAGATGCTTTTCTTGCTAAACTTTATGCAAAAGATAGTAAAAGTCTATGTGAAATGTACGTATTCAAGGAAAATTTGATTTATTAATCACTCTAGAGCAGTTAGCCAAAATAATTAAATTTTCCAAGAAAAAAATCAAATTTTTCCCATTTCAAATAACCAAAAAAATCACTAAGCACAGATTTTTCACTGGGAAATTCTTTCAAAAATGTAAAGATTATATATTCAATTTTATTTAATTAGTTACAAGTAGTAGACGATAGAGAATAAAAACCTTCCAAATCTCCATTAAGCAAAAATATCAATAACAAAACCCTGTAAATTCAAATGAACCCAAAGCCACAACTCCCATTATGAATAATTGTATCAAAAATATTAACAGGAAGAACACACTCATTAAAGGTATATATTTTGCAATACTAGGGTTTATAGAGTGTAATAAAAATGTATGATATAGTGATGAATTATAATTTTTTAGGAAAAATACTATTTGCATTAAACCTGACCCAGCATTATGAAAAACTTAATTTCCACTATTGATAAATAAATCTACAATAGAAGAAAAAAATAGGAAAATATAAAGGAGTTTCTGTACAAAACCGAGCATCATAGATCACACCTGCCCATTTCATGTCATCCCTCTGGAGGTCAGCAGAGAAAACCTCCATCTGTGAAGCCATGACCCATCCATAACTGCTTTTGGAATAAATTGAACTGTAAAAATTTACAGGTCAAGCTTCCAGAAGGCAGTTATATTTATTCGTCTTCTATTTTGATATCTACTTGGGTTTCTGGGCTATATCAAGGAATGTGAAGGGTTTGATATATTACCCTACTTACAACTTATTTACTTATATTACCTTACCTACATGTTAGCCTGCCACAGCTTTCCAGAGACTGGCATAAGGCAGAAATCTCCTAGAAAAGCTGAGACTCATGATTCAGAGAAAAGAGCAGGAGATTAGTTTATTGGTATCAACTACCCTTGCTTCTAATTTCCACAACAGCAACACCAATGGACAAGGCAGATGTTTGCACATATGATGAGCTGCATCTTCGGAGAGAAAATGTGGGCTGAGGAAATTCAAATCTTTATAATGGACCATAGGCATATATGCCCTTTGCCCCAAAGGTAGGCATTATATTAATTAAACTAGGCAGTAAGTATGCCTGGCTTTTGCTCTAGAGGGAAACACTATCTCTATCATCCACAGTTGTTTAGCATGCAGATATCTTTTTAAAAAGACATTCTATAAAAAAGAGCTTGTTAAGATGAACAGAAATACATGAGGACCCTGGAGAATTATCTTGCATAATAACACATATAAATATTCACTGAAGAATTTAACTGAAAATGAGGCAAGTGCTATCTCCACTTAAAAAGAGCATAATTGAACATTTGGGTTATTTGAGCTTCAATAGAGACATTGAGAACTTGGGAGAGAAAGCATATAATCAACCAGTTATCCTTGCAGTGTCCTTGAGTGGTACTTTTATCGGAAGCATAAGTACCCCAGTCAAGCTATCAAATGAACAAGAGAAACTTACATCAAAAAGATTTTATATTTTAGGTTGATTGTCTATAAGAGAAGTTAGATCAAAATGGATTCATTTCACTTGATTAAACCAGCATTTACTTGAGATACTAGCATTTTATTCTTATTGCATGAATTGAAGTCCTATTTTTTTTTTAATTGATGTCCTATTTATTACAGAAACTCACCACCTTGTCTACTGTCCGCTCAGCGGGAATACTCCGTAAGGACTCAGAGCAGTTATAAACATGTGGAATTTAGAAATTGGCTTGCTGTTTTCTAGAAGATCTAGAAATAAAGATAAATTTTGATATGACCTGATTCTAAACAAAACCACAGTGGGCAAAGTTTGCTGCATGGGGCATATTATATTAGCACATCTTTAACATGAAATGAAATATTGGTTAAATTATGCTTTCTATTTTATTTTTCTATATTTTTATTTTGTTGCCTAGTGGAAAATATAATTAAGAAAGCAAGTATTAACTTCAACTATTTGATTAAATAAGAATTAATGAATTTGTGTTATGAAACTATTATCCTAGAAATGGTTATCTTATACAGAAACTTGTCTCTAGAATACTTGCTATTCCTTGATCGAAAATGCTGGGTGAAACTTTTGCTAGATGTTGTTAGACTTTTAAGGTTTTTTAAAACATGTTTTTATTCCAATAAAAAAAGATCAGGGAAAACAATGGTAACACATTTAGAACAGGCCTCATAAAGATGTCAAGTTAAGGTTGTCTCTGATAACTTAAGAAAAACAGAATGTAAGGGAGAAAATAGTTTCTATCTGCCTCCCACAGATCCGAGAGTACATTTTTAGGAGAATAAGAATTGGTGGGTATTTCTTAATTGAAAATAAGTGTAAGTGTTTATCAAATTAACTAGGCTGTTGAAAATATCTGCATAGTACATAGTAGGTATTCAAAACTTACCGTGAATAAATGTCTGAATTTAAACTTAGAGTTAGCAATATATAAATTTTCAGATTGCCCCTGGGTCTCTTAGCTAGTAAAATAAATATGAACTGTGGTTCAATCAATCTTTCCCCTTATATCAAAACTACACTTTGAACAGATTGAAAACAAAAAGGTAAGAAAGCTGATAGCTTTAAAAGTCCTTGGAGAATAATGTGTAAACGGGAACTCAGTCCAAACAACCTCTCCACCATTTAATACAAATTTTACTGTTCAAGCTGGGAATCAACATAGCATATAAACTGTAAGCTTCTCTTCTTGGCTTTTGATTCTTGACAGCTGTAATTGACATATATAAACTCTTTCAAAGTGACTTTTGGCAATTTTCTCTGGGGCAAGTTTTTAGACAACGGAGGCAGACGGCTAAGCGCACTTATTTGAATGTCTTGCTGTTCACATACTCATTCTGGGTTGTCATATTTTTGGTTGCTTGGGGGTTGCCAGTACCCTTTGTAACAATTCATAGTATTCTTTAGTTTCTGCAGGGTATGATGGCATGTAAGTCCACCAAATGTAATGTGAGAATTAAGTCATTTTGAGAAATACCGAGTTATCTTCATATAAACAAAAAATAAATATAATAGATGTTACTTGAAATCTTTAAAGATATTTAAGAGGAGAAGTAAACTATTTCAAACTTGAATAGAAATGTTGCATTTGACATTTGATGTGTTGAGATTCTGATACTTTTATGAAATTTTAAATTAATGATGTATATATCTTATCTTACTATTTCAAACAATATCAGAGCTGTGTCTTAATACACATTGAGTTTCCAAAAGATACAAATTTACCCTTCAATCATCAGTGTATGAGAGCAACTATTTCTCAAAGATGCTAATAGTGATGATTTGAAAATGAGAATATGGGTGGTTTTTCCTTCTTTTGATTTTGCTTTATTTTCTATCTTTCTAATTGTTATTTGTATTTTGGTAGTGGAAATTACAGCTTTTATAGTTTAAATATGTAGTAATAATATGATTTAAAAATACATTCAAAATATTATGTCAGCCTTTAGTGAGATTTTATATTATTTTATTACAACTCAGTTGAATTACTAATTTAGAATTTATATTATTCATGTTGGGGGATTTGAAGTGTCCTCTGAACAGGAAAAGCATTTTTAACTCACCTGAATCCATAAAACTATATAATTTTCTCAGTAAGACTTTTAAGGCACATCTTTGAAATTTGAGAGGTCTATTTTATTGTAAATTCTGGCTTGATGTAATGATGGTCTTCCCCTTTATAGCCCTTTTTTTTCTGATTAAAATAAGTGCCTATGAGAAAATCCAAAGAGTTTATTTAAAATGGAATTAAATGATATCAATGTTATTATATTCAGTAAAATGTAAATGGTTACAGTTTGGGTATTTTGTCATTTCAGAAATTTCTGCAGTCTTAAACTATGCATATTTTTAAAAGGTAGGCAACATTCTCCCTCCTAGAAATCGAAATTTATGAAATACTTGAATATTCCCTTTTTGCCTTCATAATTAAACTGATAAATATGTGTTGTGATAGGCATTAGGATAATGCTGTTATTCAATCATTACTAAATAAGTGCGCCCAACTAAATATTAACTTTGAGTTATTCACTGAATTGTACTGTACCTCTTACCCTGTTTTTAATTCCTTTTCTTCTGAATATGAGTGGGATTAAGTGGTGAGGAGTTATAGTAACTAGTCAAATAGATAATTATTTTCCATCAACAGCATCAATATCTGCTTTGTAATGTATCATAGCTTTGTCAGATTATTTTATTATTTTATGGAAAAAATAGTGTGCATACTATCACTTATGTAAGGAAAGAAAAAACATGAACAATGTTCTCTTCTCTTTCCCTCCAATCCTGTCAAAATCAATACCTGCATTTCTCTAGCTGTTTCTCTTACAAAAGACAAGTATTTTGGCATCTGTACTCAGAATGCCTACACTGGCTAACATAGACTATCTTTTATGTATCACCACCAGAGGCACTTGGATTTTAATGTCAGTAACTATTTTTTCCTCACACAAATGACTTGACACATAATAGTTTTATCAGTTGACTTTACCAGTTATACTGTTTCTGATCTTTCTGATTTTTAAAAGAAACAAACAAACAGAAATGGTTTAACACTTTAAATTCAATGTTCTTAATGTTGTTTGTGCCTCATCTGGTCACCAGATGTACACCTAACTGCACTTCCTATCAAAGAAGATATTTAGGCATTTGATGTGTTGGCTATTAGGTTTGTTCATCTAACTACTCAGCAAGGATTGCCCTTCATAATATTGTGATTCATGACATTTGAATTTCAAAGGCATGCATTAATTATCTCATTAGATCATCTCCACAATCCTGTGAGAAGACAAAACTGGTATTAACCACCATACATTTTTCAGATGCTAAAACTGAGATCAAGAGTGATGAAGTCACTTAGGAAAGAGACAACATTTACACAGTGAGGCTGAGAATAAGAATTAATTTCGAGGGCCTTTTACAATGCATTGACCCTTAAAATCTTTCCTGGAAAAGCATTTCAACTGTATAGTCACTTGGCTCCAAAACCCTCAGAAATTATAAAAAGCCATTGGTTAACTAAATTATGTTAGATCCCACCTCTGGAGATTTGAACTTAATGCAGGTTTATAACTGAAGGCCTTAACCTGAATGAGTGGATGAATGAATAATAAAGAATAGATGACAAACAGATTAAATAGGTAAGTGCGTGACATGCCACCATATATATTATTCTAATATTTAAGGTTTATTGGCATTAATTACTCACCTGGAAGTATACTAAATACTTAAAACATTAATTATATCATTTATTTCCCAAAAAATCGGTTAGGTATTATTATTCTCAATTCAGATGATAAAATGACTTTCAGGTAACTTTTCTAAGGACACACAACCAAAAAGTAGGAAAGTCACAATTTGATCCCATGTCTACTGGCTTAAAAGCTTACTGCTTTTGTTACATTTATTTTTATCTAACTCAAATAAGTACTTATATGTGCAAGGCACTATCCTAAAAATTGCGTAAATATTAAGTAACTTAATCACTTTGTGTTCCTGTCAATTAATCCAAGTTTGGGTAATTGTTATCACATATTCTTTATGACATATATGGATTATAAACTACATATTAGTTCATTTAAAAATTTTCATAGATCTTTATTTTGCTCCCTTTTTTTTTTTGCTCTAAAACATATACTAAATGTAATTTTTAAAAAGCATACTGTACCTTACTATGGGTTTTTAAAATTTTACTTCTCTTTAGAAAAATTCAGCTTTGAAAAATTTTAATATGATGTGAAAATTATCAATTACCTTCACTGGTCCAGTAACACATCTTTGCAGTTATAGTAGCAACATATAGTAATTATATGTAGTAATTATATGCTATAATAACTATAGCATTTTTCACATGCTATAAAATTTGTAGCACAAAACTGGAAATCCCCTAAAATTCTCACACAAGTGATTTTTGTTGATTACCTACTGAGATAACTGTAATGGAAAACTATCCACATACTGTGCTATAAATATAAAAAGATTTAACTATAACAGTTAAAAGGTGCCCATTTTCTACTCAAAGCAAAAGAAGTGTATAACTATAGCAGACAAAATGGAGCCCATGTTTTAGGAAAATATGAAGAAAATAAGCATTTGTAGATGTCATTTGATGTCTTTATAATTTAATTAGCTCTTATGAGTTACATTACTTTCATGATTCCTTTTTTGTTAACACTGGTATTGTTCTATATGCATATTAAAATAAACTTTGCCAGACAGAAACCAAGATGGCATTTAGATAAGGATCCCTGTTTCAATCTTTTAAGATTATCCAGAAAATCAGTAACCCCAGAGGGTCCTCTGACTTGAAGTAAAACTGGAATACCACATGGACATCAGAAATTAGCACTGACTATACCAGAAGGGACACTGAAGTATTTCAAATCCATTCAACAAAAGATGGGTGGAGTCTGCTTTTCAAACTTCTTAGATCTGTGCTCCATTTAGCCAGAGGCCCTGGGGAGAGGTGAGCTAAATGGTGTGGAGGTAAACCCTTAACTGAGTGAAAATATGTGAGAAGAACTAATTAGCGGATTAAATACTTTAGTATAATAACTGAAACTATAAAATGCATTGAAAAATCATAGGCAAAATACTCCACATCATTGACTTCAGTGATGGCTTTATGGATTCATCCCTAACAAAAGAAGCAAAGGACAACATAAATAAAATCATTGGACATACATCAAACTATAAAGCTTCTCTGTAGTGATAGAAAGTGCCACTAAGACAAAAGATATCT